GGTTAGCTAACTGGCCCCTTCCTTTCCCCGGGACCCTTCATAAAACTGGCAAGTTGTTCTCCCTAAGGTCCTTAACCTTTCACTAATGTTACTTTCTTCTAGTTGCCAAAGATGGTTTCAAAATAAATGCTTGAAATACATCCCCCACCCTTGGTGGTACCACTACAGCCCAGTTCTGATAGCGGGAAATGATAGTCCTAGGGGCCCTCTACCTTAACTTAAAAGCGAAAATGATCAGACCCCCCCCCCTTCTGCCACAAAAGTGCTTTTACGCACACTTCAAAGATAAAGGAGTAATAGAAGAATCTTAAATTTTCTTGAAAATGAACAAGAAATAAATAAAGATTCTATCAGAATATTGGCAATGTCCAGTCTGAAAGCCCTCCAAGAACTGAAAAGGAATACTCCCTATGATCCCTTATCCTTCCCTTGTGTTGGTTTAATCTGGTGTTCAAATATTCCGAAAAATAAATACTTTAAAAGGGCTTTCAATCAAAGAAAAACTAGGTGGTTCCCCCAAAGTCTTAATCTGAGATCGGCAAATGATAGCCCGATACGCCACATACTATGCCCTACTAACGGTATGATGCATATCCACTTTCAAAAAAAGTCTTATAATAACTTATCTTTATCCGTGTCCCAATATTCAATGTAAATAAAAGTTCAACTGGCCCCCATCAAGTCTGAGAGAACCCGATAAAATTTTTCAATGATCCTCAACCAATCAACAGTATTAGTTTCTTCTAGGGGTCTACGATGATTTAAAAATGAAAGCTTAAAATACGTCCCCAACCCATGGCACCACTTGGTGGTACCACTACAGCCCCATTCTGAAAGCGGGAAATGATAGTCCTAGGGGCCCTCTACCTTGCCCCAGTAATGATTTGAAGCACACTTCAAAGACAAGGGGTATAATAGCTGACCTTTAACCCGTATAATAGAACACAAAGTGAAAAACAACAAAGTTCAGGTTAGCTAACTGGCCTCTTCCTTTCCCCGGGACCCTTCATAAAACTGGCAAGTGGTTCTCCCTAAGGTCCTTAACCTTTCACTAGTGTTACTTTGTTCTAGGGGCCTAAGATGATTTCAAAATGAAAGCTTGAAATACGTCCCCCACCCATGGCACCACTTGGTGGTACCTCTACAGCCCCATTCTGAAAGTGGGAAATGATAGTCGTAGGAGCCCTCTACCTAGACCAAGTAATGATTTGAAGCACACTTCAAAGATAAGGAGTATAATTCCTGACCTTTAACCCGTTTTTTTAATACACAAAGTTAAAAACAACAAAGTTCAGGTTAGCTAACTGGCCTCTTCCTTTCCCCGGGACCCTTCAAAAAACTGGCAAGGGATTCTCCCAAAGGTCCTTAACCTTTCCTTAGTAGTCCTAGGTGCCCTCTACCTTGCCCCAGTAATGATTTGAAGCACACTTCAAAGACAAGGGGTATAATAGTTGACCTTTAACCCGTATAATAGAACACAAAGTGAAAAACAACAAAGTTCAGGTTAACTAACTGGCCCCTTCCGTTCCTCGGGACCCTTCATAAGACTGGCAAGTGGTTCTCCTAAGGTCCTTCACCTTTCACTAGTGTTACCTTGTTCTAGTAGCCAAAGATGGTTACAAAATGAATGCTTGAAATACGTCCCCCACCCTTTGCACCACTTGGTGGTACCACTACAGCCCCATTCTAAAAGCGGGAAATGATAGTCCTCGGGGCCCTCTACCTTGCCCCAGTAATGATTTGAAGCACACTTCTAAGATAAAGAATATAATAGCTGACCTTTAACCCGTTTATTAATACACAAAGTGAAAAACAACAAATTCAGGTTAGCTAAATGGCCCCTTCCTTTTTCCGGGACACTTCATAAAAATGGCAAGTGGTTCTCCCTAAGGTCCTTAACCTTTCACTGGTGTTACTTTGTTTTAGTTGCCATAGATGGTTTCAAAATGAATGCTTGAAATACGCCCCCCACCCTTGGCACCACTTGATGGTACCACTACAGCCCAGTTCTGATAGCGGGAAATGATAGTCCTAGGGGCCCTCTACCTTGCCCCAGTAATGATTTGAAGCACACTTCAAAGACAAGGGGTATAATAGCCGACCTTTAACCAGTACATTTATACACAAAGTGAAAAACAACAAAGTTCAGGTTAGCTAACTGGCCCCTTCCCTTGCCCGGGACCATTCAAAAACCTGGCAAGTTGTTCTCCCTAAGGTCCTTAACCTTTCACTAGTTTTAGTTTGTTGTAGTTGCCAAAGATGGTTTCAAAATGAATGCTTGAAATACGCCCCCCACCCTTGGCACCACTTGATGGTACCACTACAGCCCAGTTCTGATAGCGGGAAATGATAGTCCTAGGGGCCTTCTACTTTGCCCCAGTAATGATTTGAAGCACACTTCAAAGACAAGGGGTATAATAGCCGACCTTTAACCAGTATATTTATACGCAAAGTGAAAAACAACAAGGTTCAGGTTAGCTAACTGGCCCCTTCCTTTCTCCGGGACTTTCATAAAACTGGCAAAGGATTCTCCCTAAGGTCCTTAACCTTTCACTAGTGTTAATTTGTTCTAGTAGCGAAAGATGGTTTCAAAATAAATGCTTGAAATACGTCCCCCACCCTTGGCACCACTTGGTGGTACAACTACAGCTCCATTCTGAAAGCGGGAAATGATAGTGCTAGGGACCCTCTACCTTTCCCCAGTAATGATTTGAGGCACACTTCAAAGATAAGGGGTATAATAGCTGACCTTTAATCCCTTTAATAATACACAAAGTGAAAAGCAAAAAAGTTCAGGTTAGCTAACTGGCACCTTCCTTTCCCTGGGACCCTTCATAATCCTGGCAAGTGGTTTTCCCTAAGGTCCTTAACCTTTCACTAGTGTTAGTTCGTTGTAGTTGCCAATGATGGTTTCAAAATGAATGCTTGAAATACGTCCCCCACCCTTGGCACCACTTGGTGGTACCACTACAGCCCCATTCTGTTAGCGAGAAATGATAGTCCTAGGGGCCCTCTACCTTGCCCCAGTAATGATGTGAAGCACACTTCAAAGATAAGGGGTATAACAGCTGACCTTTAACCAGTATATCAATAGACAAAGTGAAAAACAACAAGGTTCAGGTTACCTAACTGGCCTTTTCTAGTCATTGGAATCTGTCAAAAAGTTGACAAGGGATGCTCCTTAAAGCCCTTTACTTTTTACCAGTTTAGTGTTAGTTTGTTCTAGTGGTCAATGATGGTTTCAAAATAAATGCTTGAAATATGTTCCCCACCGTTTGCACCACTTGGTGGTGCCACTACAGTCTCATACCGATTGCGGGAAATGATAGTCCTAGAAATCTTGCCACATGCAGTAATGATTTAAAGCACACTTCTAAGATAAGAGGTAAAATAGCTGCTAGAAATATGTAACCCGCCACTTGGTACCACTTCAGCCTAATTTTTATGGCCGTATATAATAGCCCTGTGGATCCTTTACCTTGTGCCAGTAATTATTCGAAGCACACTTTAAGGATAATAACTAAAAAATAGATTTAATTACCTTCGAACCCATATCAATGTAAATATTAGGAGTAAGCAAATTTCAGGTTAGCCTTTTGGCACCATTATGTTCCTTAGACCCGTAAAAGAGCTTAGAAAGGATTCTCCCGGAAGTACTCAACCTATTTAAGATGTTGGTTTGTTCTTAAGCGGTCAAAGATGGTGACATTTTCTTTTTTTGTTTGTTTGTTTGTTTTGAAACCTCATAATTTCCCTTATGCAGGTGAGCTTAACTGCCTCCAAGTGTTTGAATTATTAAATAATTAAGTGTTGCATTAATTATCTCATTATTAATTATAAATTGTCGAAAATGAGGTATTAAACAGTATTGCGTCAGAGTACTCTCAGTCCTTTGATGAATTTCCTTATTGGCTGCTAGCTTCTACGGGCTTAGTGGCTGCTGTTATTGGCTGCTACCTGCAAATTTTGTCATATACTCGGCACTTACGGCCATTGAGCAGTGAGGGATCTTTTTCGTGCCAGCACCTACTGCGACACGGGATCTCGGTTTATACGGTCTCATCCGAAGAACCGGTCTCCACGTCCCACGGTGGGATTGGAACCCGCGACGTAAGGATCAACTCCTTACTCCGCGACTCTAGAGCAGATGCTCTAACCACTGCGCCACGCAACACGGATCTTTCACTTAATTTACAATGTTTGTCTTATAATATAATTTGATAAATAACAGCAAAAGATAGACATATACCACTTCACAATGCTCGACGGTGATTTATTTAATTATGATATCATTGAAGAAATACAGGACAGTCAGGGTAAGGACGTGGTGTTTAAACAGCAATTTACACTAAACAAACTGACCAATTTACCGTGTGATCTCAATAATTACCAGCCAATCAACTTAAATAGATAGATCTCTATACGAAAAGCTAAATTATCAACGTGTATGCAGAGGTTTCATTTATAAACGCGAATTTAAAGAAAGTCGCGTTCAAATTTACATATATTTTATTTTTTCCGACTAACCGATTAATGATCTGCATTTTCCCTCCGAGCATGTATTACATACATCACCGGTAAACGATCTAGTGAATATTTACAACGATTGTGTTCGAAATGCTGTCGAAAAACACGCCCCCCTTCGCACCAAAGACATTATTTTGCGACCGAGTACTCAATGGTATTCAAACGAATTGCTGCAGGCAAAACGTGAAAAACGCAAAGCAGAACGGACATGGAGATTTTCTCGTTTGACGGTGCATAATGAAATATTCGTGGACAAGTGTTTTCAATATAGCGCTTTACTTACGCAAAGTAAAAAGGACTACTTTTCATCCAAAATAATAGAGTCCGGAAACGATTCAAAACAGTTATTCAGCATTGCTAACCATTTGACCGGGAACAAATCCGAAATCATTTTACCGACTTGTGACAATGAATCAAATCTGTCGGATAAATTTGCCGAATTTTTTGAAGCGAAAATTCAAGGAATTCGAACGATGCATTTACAACAAAATAACAGTCATAGCGAGAATTTGGATGCGCTATGGGCAGACAAAAGCTTTATGGGAGCCCCGCTTCTTGAATTTACAAGTACCTCTGCAGAAGAAGTCTTGAAAATTGTGTTGAAAACATCATCTACGTCTTGCGGATTGGACCCAATGCCTACGAATATCTTGAAAACCTGCATCGAAAATGTTCTACCAATCATTATGCGTCTTGTTAACCAATCACTAGCCGAAGATGTTTTTCCAGATGATTACAAACAAGCAATAGATAAGCCGCTTCTAAAGAAACCGTCGCTGGATAAAGAGTGTCTTAAGAACTATAGGCCGGTTTCAAATTTATCATACGTTTCAAAAATCATTGAGAAAGTCGTCACAAAAAGAATCGAAGATAATCTCAGTTCGAACACTCTACATGACAATCTTCAGTCAGCATATCGCGCGGTTCATTCCACAGAGACCGCCCTTCTTAGAGTTCATCATGACATTGACGTATCTCTTGACAAAGGATGTTGTGCTGTGCTACTGATGCTTGATTTATCCGCGGCGTTCGATGTCATCGATCACGATATACTTTTCCGTCGACTAGAATACTCCTACGGGATAGCCGGTTCGGCCCTTCAGTGGCTACAATCGTATCTGAGCGGTAGATCACAACGCGTTTCGATAGGTTCAACATTATCGGAACCAAAATCTCTCAAGATTGGTGTGCCCCAGGGTTCGGTACTCGGGCCCAGGATTTACTGCATGTACGAGGGGTTATCAAAAAGTTCGTGGACTGACGCGATAAAATTAATAATATGTAGTCTTTGCTTACAAAATTTATGCGGAACATAAAACAACAGAAGTTTAAGAAATGTTGAAAATTTTAGCTTGATACGTTGATAATTTGCCAAATTATTCTAAAATTAAAAAGACTTTATGTGATCACCCGGCGCTGTCGCCGTTTAGTGTCATGACGTCCGCTTAACGTCATTGTTTCTTAATGTCCGCTCTCTCTACCTCATACAATTATCTTGATGAGATTACCTGGAGTTAAGTATGGACTTAAACCCGTCTTATTTATATGAATTTATAATGTCATGAGCAGCTGTTTTCAATGCATATAATTTTGTAAATGGATCTTTATATGGGGAAAGATCCTCACCTGATTATGCCAGAATACTTAGCTTGTTGGAGTTCAATTTCTACCACACATGATCAACGTCACTTTTCGATGTGACTGACTTTTGACACCCTGACTACAAATCGACACTAACTGTGCATATTTCATCTCTCTGAATCTTTTTGGGCATTAAAAACAAGTACTCTGGATGCATTTTATTTTTCTGTAGCCAGTTTAAACATTCCTTAGGTCAATACCAGTTTTTCCAGGAGCGAAACTCTATAGAGTGTTTGAAAAAGAAACCCCTCCCCCTTTTTGACGTTATTTTCAAGCCCATAATTGTTTGGACACTCCATATAAAATTTACGATAAAATTTCATAGAAATTACAGAATGGGGTAAAAATTGCAAATTTTACTGAACAAATGTGTCGTACCACATGCCTGAATTAACGAGATTTTTTGATGACAAATACTCATATCTAAAGAGTTTTTCTCAGTTACACTCAGGTAGAAAAAAACGTCATATTAGAGGTTGCGCCGCCTGGACATACCTTTGCTTACAAAAACACTAACAATTTATTAAAAAATAAAAATTATGATTTATGGTTTATTCTGTAGATAGAAAAGATGATGCTAACTAAATGTGTAAAAATTCATTGATGTACCTAAAGCGGTTTTAATTTTATGACGCTAGTCCACGAACTTTTTGATAACCCCTCGTATGCAAAACCAATCGGGAAATTTGTTACAGAAACAACATGAACTATCATTGCTATGCAGACGACACTCAGATCTACATCATGATAATTGGAATAACATCTCCATTCGTCTAACTGCATGCCTCAGTGACATACAAAACTGGATGAATGCAAATTTGCTTAAACTTAACCAGGAAAAAACGGAACTCATGATATTTGCGCCTAAGACCAGATCAATTGAAATTGAAAGTTTCAGTCTTTCATTTGGAAACAACATCATCCATAACACCCCCTTTGTTCAAAATCTTGGGACATATTTCGATACGTCGTTAATAATGGAAAAACAATGCAATGCACTATCTAAATCATGTTATTTCCACCTAAGAAACATTGGACGTATTAGAAACTACATCACCGAAGATGCATGCAAAACGCTTGTTAATCCATTAGTTACATCCCGTTTGGATTACGGGAATGCTTTACTTGTCGGAACTAACAAACAACTAACAAACAAGCTTCAACGTGTACAAAACACAGCTGCGCGCATAATAACATTGTCATAGTCGAAATTTGACCATATAACTCCTGTTTTGATAAGTCTTCATTGGCTGCTGGTAGAGTTTCGTTGCCAATTTAAGACTCTTGTCTATGCATACAAAGCACTCCACGGACAAGCTCCAACATATATTTCCGAACTAATTGAGCCATACACACCTTCGCGTAGCCTACGCTCAGAATCATCAAATCTTTTAGTGGTTCCGTCAACAAGGACTGTGACATATGGGAATAGACGATTCGACAGAGCTGCGTCTACCTTATGGAACTCTCTTCCTCTGTATCTTAGAAAATGTGACACAATAGAAATTTTTAAGAAAAAGCTAAAAACTTTTCTTTTTAAAAAGGCATATGACTTGTAAATAGACTGTGTATTTAATCCTTTAATTACATTAGGGTGACTGCATTTTAAATATTTATCCTACTTATCTTATTTTTAGTATTTTATGTATAGTGTGGACACTGAAATTTTTATATATTTATCTTATAATTTCACATATGATTGCTGTAAATTTTTTAATTTTATTGTTTTATATAATATGCTTGTACAGCGCCTTAGAGTTTAATATATAGGGCGCTCTATAAATGTTTAATAATAATAATAATAATAATAATAATGTTTTAATAATAATAATTACAGATTTTCTAACCGATTACCATCCTTGCGACCGAATAATCGGTTAACCGGTTACAAGCTGCCATCCCTGCTAAAGATATTGATTTTAGTCTATTCATCTTGATAATCTATATTAATGAATTATGAATCTATTATGTTTCATACTTCATTTAAATTTTTTCCGTTGAAGGAGCAAGTAACTTTAAAACCCATAAAATGCCAAGAATTCCAGAAACCTTTTTTACATTCTTCATGTTTATTTGTGAAATAAATGCCGTTGGAATTTTGGTACAGAATAAAATCTTGGACGTTCCAGCCCTGGCTACGTATGAAATCATTGGCTTGAAAGGTTGTGCAAAACAATGCATAAGACGCAGTGGTCAGTGTCTTGCTTTTACTTATCAGAAGAGACACCTGCTTTGTAATCTCCTGGACACCACCTCCGCTATTGTTCCGGACAAACTGAAGGCAAAAAAAGGATTTACTTACAGCGAAATAAACACCTGGTCGGAAGTAAGATGGCACTTAATGGGGACCAAAAACATGTCTTTTTCTGCTTTCTTTTTTTTTTATTCGTTGCATTGATAAGTACATGAGTACAAGAAATGCATGGCTTTGAGGAATTTGATTTCCTTTGATTGATAAAAAAAAAAAATTAGAATATAACATAATGCATCAAAACTGGCGTATGTTTCAACATTTTTAAAAAGCAGTTTTCGTTTTGATTTGAAAGATTGGGAGGTGCAGATTTGAATATGAAAAGCGTACAAGGTCTTTAGTTTCGAGTCTCCTGTTTTATACATGTATTATAGTCCATTAAAATTCAAATGTTGTATGTGATCAAACATAAATGATGACATATCAATTTGAATTACTTTCGAAAACCATGAAATAGACTATTTCGTGATTGGTTGATCAACATTTAGAGGCACCTACCCTCTGATAAAAAATAACTTTCCAAGTCAATATAAATCCTATTACTCATGGTTTATTAGTATTTTACCAAAGTTGTCTGAATGGATCTGATATATAATGGAAATATTAACTTCTATTTCCTTTTTAATTTTCAAATTGTTTTATTATGTTTGACAAAAAAAAAATTAAATCCAGTTTTAAAACCCTTACAAATTGAATAAGTTATATCTTTTAAAGAACAATTTTAAAAATGCTTTAATGTATCAATACCATATGTACAATTGTTATTAGTATTACATATTTTTTCCTTGAAAAAATATTCATATGCTAATGGACTAATATTACCGGATAGAACCCTACATTCGGGGTCGTCTGAGGGTCAATTTTGATACAGAATTTTACGTCAAAAGTCTTTTATATGTCGTTTTAAACTTCTGGGGGTTGCCTTGTAGTTGCTCCCTTCTGTAAAATATAATTTTCTGAACTAAAAAGTCTGTATATATGAAAAAATTATGTACATGTACTCAACTTGTTGGTCTTTTCTCCGCTTCGGTGCCGCCACCCGATGTCACGCATAACCGCCATCCCAGAATGTAGCGCTCTATCCGGTGAATATAAATTATAGATATGGCACTGAATATTATTTTCATATACACCTCATATTTTTAATTTTATTTTGTAATAATAATTTATTACTCTTCCTATTCTCTATGCTAAAATTTCTTCATGTCGGTCTGACCTAAAAATCATTTCAGAAAAAATAAGCAGCGCTTCATACCTCATTTTATTTATTAATGCTATAACTCTTAATGAAAATCAATGCTGGGAAGGATAAAAAATTGTAAAATTAAGAGAATAGGGCCCATTAGTCCTTAAGTAGATCGCAAAAATGAATATCGATAAAGGTTTAATCCCTAATTTCAACCCAACTGTTTCTCAAAGATTTTAATTTTAGTTTCTGCTTAAGTTTGATTTTTTGAAGATATATTTCTAGGATCTTGGCAAATGTAGAACAGTTACCTGTCCGGCTGGTAAAACCTGTTTAGAATTGTCATCTGTGAAAACATCCTGCCAATTTGATCCGACAGGTAAGTCTTGGTTGTATAATGTGGGTTTAGCTTAGAACGCCTTCCTCAAAAGATTGTCAGGAACAGGCCAACCTGCTGACAAAAAGTGGAGGGACGATCTTTTTTGGGGGGGTGGGGGTGACCTCTACGAACTAAAAGCTTTAATTTGGTTAAAATTTTCTAAATCTGTGAACTGTTTGTTTAAAAAAAATGTTTGTTTGTTTGTTTTTTGTTTGTTTTTTTTTTTTTTTGCAAGTATGTAAAGATATATAACTTCGAAAACGCTGTTTCCTTTAGTTACGGCCTTGAACGATGTTTTGTGCATGTCGGTTTCATTTACAGCCTGTCCTAAGGGAACATTCTTCAATGGTAGCGGCTGTCCACTTTGTTCTGAGGGAGAATACCAACCTCTCAGTGGTCAGCGGAACTGTTCCATTTGTCCCGAAGGAGATGGACCCACATGGAAAATGTCTACCGTCACTAGAACCATTTGTCAAGGTCAAGATATATTAGTTCATCATGATCAGATACAAAGGCTCTTGTGAAATTTTCTGATCGATCGAATCTGTTTGTCTGTTGCTAGTACTGTGCATTGTGTGCCGTGTTCCGTGTACTGACAACTAAAAAAAAACAACCTTTTTTTTATTTCTCCGGAATTATTGCGTCATTTCTGACCAATCGTGCTAGAACGTATGGTATAATCAATTACGAGGGAAAAATCATTAAAATCTTTCACTAAAGATTCAGAACATAACAATAAGCTATCATTAAGGACCATATATACGCTTATGAAAATATTTTCTGGACATTGAGAAAATTTTATCATATGAAGGTGTAATTATTGAGTTCAATATGTTTTAATTTTAACATAGGGTACCAACCATTTACTGTCAGGAAAATTGTTCAAAGATAAAGTATTTGGTAACAAAAATCACTATTGCTTATTTAGATGGGAAAAATACAAGCAAATTAAGTGTTCAATAAATCTATCGTTGCCATATAAAATGATAAGAATGCTTGAATTCAAATTTCCAAATTGAGAAACAACAATAGATTTCAATTTATTTTATTTAAGATCGGAAGACATTTCACTCTAACTGAAAAAAAAAAAAAAACAACAAAGAATCAGAACTCTTTAAATGTATAGAGCCTCAAGTCAGCATAAAAGTATTTTATGTACTGAAGATTGTGAAAAAGATCCGATGGATAGTTGGGGCGGGGGGGGGGGTGGGGTGGGGGGTTGTTCAAGTAATTATATTCTTTTATAAAAACCATCATTGAAAAAAGAACGTCTTTCAAATCTGATATCGTCATCACACACTGGTATCTGACCGTATTGAATGCTACTCCATTGCGCTCTGTAGAACCGAACAATACTTTCTGACAGTGTAAGATTAAATGAAATACAAATATAAAGCTACAAATGTATATACATTTCACTTTTTGCAGGTTGTTGGTATGGAATCGGAATGTTCAAGGAGGGAGATGACACTAAACTGATATCTACACATACTGTAGCTGATCGTGGTGGATGCTACTCTCTCTGTAAAGCCGACCCTAACTGTCTGGCGTTTAAAAGCACCCAGTCCAATACCAAATGCGCTCTTTTCTCTAGCAAGACATGGAAATATGGCTACGTCCTCAACTCTGTCGTCATTCTTGTCCGCGGCCATTGTAGACCTTAATATATAAATTGGAGTGTAAGACAAAGTGTTACGCTGTGTTTTTATCCATTCTTTGATTTTCTTACTCAAACAGGAGATATTAAAGTAACTCTAAGGACGTACAATCAAACATTTCCGATACCATTTGTTATGACTCTGAATAATTATGTTTTCTTTACCGTCTGGGTTCTACTTCCAAATAGAAAATAGACTTCTTTTTAATTTTTTTCAAAGAGTACTTTTTGAGGTTTGTTATGGTGAATGTTAAATTGTTCGACTTTGGTTGTTTCAGTTTTTTTTATCCACTGTTATTTTACAAATGTGAGTGAGTTATTTTCTTTGTTGTCATTGTTTTAATACAGAATTTATTTCATTCCATGTGTTGGGTTTATTAACATAGTTTATCATTTCTTTGGAAAGTGGAAGAGACTTTAATTCCAAGAAGATAATAGATAATTTTCTCTTGTCTAGATTCCATATTGAGTATTTTAAAAAGACCTCTAATTATTACATTTTCATCAGTGAAATTTACTAATTACTGTGATTTATTTATTGAATAAAAGTTATATTCTCTCACAGTGTGAAAGGATATCAAAGTAAGTAAAAAATAATTTCTGGTCTGTAATAAAATAGAGATAGTACATGTAAATAAATCATCTTGATGAAGACTAAAATTGCCAATTTCTTCCCAAATATGTTGCTAAAATCCGTGTTACAATGTTTTCAATCTCACAACTTCTAAGCTATGACGTCTCAACTGCTAAACTATGAATGTCACAGCCTATGATACTGTGTTAAGAAAAGACAGAGGCAAAGGGAAAATCAAAGAATATGTAATAAACAGAAAATTCAATGTTTTGTAGTTGGATATGAAATTTGTTTCACTCGTGAGACGGGAATTATTTTTTTTTTATATTTTCACTCGTGCTTCGCACTTGTGAAAATATTAAAAAAATCCTGTCCCACTCGTGAAATAAACTCCATATCCATTATCCAACTACAAAACATTGAATATCCTCTATTTCTTAAACACCTGTAATGCTCAAATTGTAATAATTTGTCAATTGTTCTATCTCAATTTGTTAACTGAGACTGTCCAACACATTGTCATGTGTTCCTTTGTTCCTTTTGGGCAAGGTAGGATCATTTCCAGACCCAAAGTATAGTTAAGTTATCTTAAGCAATTCATTGATTATCATATCTAAAGTCGCATAATATTATTCATAAATATGAAGAAAATAGAAATTAAACGTATCACTTCTCACGTTCATTAAAAGAATAACGTCAATTAAAAGTCTAGAAAGTTCCATTTCAATACGTTTATTATCCCCTCGCAACGAAGTTGGAAGGGATATAGTAACGTGCGTGTGTGTGTGTGTGTGTGTGGGGGGGGGGAGGGGGTAAGTAAGTGAGCACATGCATGCGTAACGGAAGTTCGTCATAATATCGGGATCAATGTGCTCTTTTGCAAGGGGATGCTTCGCTTTGCGGTGCCCTTGTTTATTTTAACGGAACAAATGTTTAACATTATTTGTTACAGTAAGTTGGGGATAACTTCTATCTGTAGCCATGAAAAGGATACCATTACAACCGCTACAAAAGGAAAATAGAAGAACCATATAGTGAACTTACAAAAAATTTTGAAAAGTACCTTTTCAAACTTGCATGTATCTTGTAGATTATTTTGACATAAACATCGAGAGGATTTTAATTTCCCAATCCCTTAAATTTTAATCTCGATGTAATATTTTATGTTAAAAGATGCACAAATTATTTAGAGCAGAGTAATTAGGTTTAAACACAATAAAAAGAAGTACTATACAAGTAATAAGAGGAAGTTTTAGTAAGGACAAAGAATATTTAGAAAAAAGGTAGAGGGCGCATGATTACCCCATCGAAATGTATGGAAATTTTTGGACCGAAAATTCACGTTAGAGTGAAAAGTAATTAGTTATTAACTACACGGATAAATAAGTTTGTGGATGCTAATTAATATTTATTTATTTAAAGTTCGGTCAGTTTTCCCAGTTGAACCAAGGTCGAGAAATGAAAGGGGAGATTAGCGATCCTTGAAATTAGAAATTATGTTTATGTGAATTTTTGTCATAAATATTTTATTCAAAAGTGAAAGGGTCGTACAGCAAGCTAACATTCTTGAAATAAATGCGCTGTCCCACAGTAATTACAAAACCTTGTGTTTATAATAAATAGCAACAGTACATGCATGTTAAAAAAGTATATATAAGTACAAGTTTTATTTCACTAGAATGCATGTTAAAAAGTACAAATTCAATATCATTACAATGTATGCACATACTTGTAATTTGGCATTAAAGATTATACCTACATAGATACAGCTTTAGCTAAAATGCTTACACTTGCTGAAACTTTTAATTGTACTTTTATTTATCTTGTGAACAACATTCAGTAATTTAATGAAAATTTGTACAGGTATAATTATAATTGGTACATCAAACAGAGCATGTACATACCTGTAAGCAGCTCATTTCTGTGTGGGTGTACTTGGGACCACAAGAAATTTAAGTTTTTATCGTAAAAAAAAATGGAAGAAATGTTCCACCCACTGTTAAAAAATATACTAGGGTGGCAACACTCCGGTTGCTGAATTAGTCACGAAACTTCCCGAGCTAAACCCAGACATATTTTTAAGGTGGATCACCATATGTAGGCTTCAGAATGAATAGCTCGGAAGTCTCTGGTTTTATAGTACACTACAACCCTTACCGGCAGATAATTTATATTGTAAAGTTAGCCCGGTTTTTGTCCCTGTTATGCTTCGTATACTCCGCGACACTTGGCAAGGATGAGGCAGGTTACCAGGCTACTGTAAAGTCGACCTTAAATTAAAATGTGTTGAGGCAATTTTCGAGGAATAAATCAATGATTTACAATAAGGAGGTTAGACGAAGGATATTTAATAGCGATTTATTATAAAAGAAAAGTCTTTCGAAGGGAACTATGTCTTGATAGAGTAGGCTAATCAGTAAAATACGATTTTTAAGGGGGTGTCTGAAATTGAGTTGAGTTATGTACATGTACCTTATGAAAGTGAAAGCGGGGGTGCCCTGTATACGAAAGAAGTGCCCATGTGGGTCACCCAAAAACGCATTGCCATCCTGGTGTTCTTTTAGTAGAGGGTAGAATTATTTTTTCTTTCTTTTTTTTCCACAATAAAAACTTCAGACTCCTTTGCTTGGGACAAAGTAAAAAATTATGAATACTTTGTATATATACCAGCCTGTCTCATGCCAGGCAGAGCATTGAAAGGGAACCAGACTAGTATGAATACAGGAATTAATATATGAGATGGTTTAAGTGTCACCATTGAAATTACCTTTATATTTGCACAGGTGCTTGGGGACAGGACCCCCCCCCCCTCCGTACCTCAAGGATTCTTCTACTTTTTTCTTAAAATATTTTTCTTTGACACATTTACAAAGTATTCAATTTAAAAATTAAAAAAAATCCCAAATTTAACCTTAAACTAACCTTTTATAAAAATTCACACTCACTGATACTAAAAGACAACTCTTTTAGTATCCGTGTGATTTTTTATGAGAGGTTAGCTTAAGATTATATTTTGGATTTTTCAATTGTAATACTTTGTAAATATGTCACAGAAAATATTATATTTTAAATAGTCGAAGAATCCTTGGCGTAAGGAGAGCCCGGGGCCGGGCGGGGGGGGGGGGGGGTCATGTACCTAAACACCTGTCGATATTTGACTAAAATTGCTAGATGATACCCGTTAAACTCTTTTTAGTCCAATACTTTTTCAATCTTCAAATATTATGTATGAATAGATCAGGATGTCAGTCTATACACCACCCAAATGGATTTTCAATAGCAAGCCAAAAACCTTGATTTTTGTCTCCCATTTCAATGATATTGACTGCAGTCCATTTCCCAAGTAGAAACCTTTGACATCCTTTGAAACATTGACTACACATTGTCCCTGAAACGGTCAAAAGAGATCAAACATTTTTGAAAGTAAAAATATTTTATTTTTTGGATTTGATCAATGACATATCCCTTATAAAGTTGACAAACCTAAAGCATACAGAAACTGCAATCATGAAAATAATAAAGTAGTGCATGAATGTTAACAACTGACTATGATTTAAAAAAAAAAGAATATGTCGATTGATACTATCATGTTTAACAATAGTTCACACGTGACCATTGTCTTCTGGAGATGCTTTCATGGGATCTGTTTCTGATGGCTCTTGAATTTCGGAATGCCTTGGGGTTTTGTACACAATCACAATATCACAGTCTCGACTCGTCTTCTTTTCACATTTTGTGAGATCTTCGGGTTCACAATCAAAGTCCATAACTGACCATGACTGTTCAAAGTTGCTAACTTCTTCATATAGGAAACGTTTAAACGTGGAAAACGTAACAGAATCTGTGTCTATAACATTCGAATTGGCACTTGTTTGGAAAAGGACGTTACTTATTATCCACGGCAGAAATCCACCTACCAGTGTAGCCAGCATCTGACTTACACCGCAGACTTCGTACTGGTCTCCAAACGCACTGACGACTAGGAACACAAACATCAAAAAGAGCGCTATTAGAAGAAGTCGGCGAATGGCTATTAAGAAGTTTGGAAACAGGTATCCTGGACACCCGTCAACATTCATGTGAATTGTGTTGAAGAAGAAATTTTTAGAGATTCGAAAGGCGTTCCTTTTCTTGTCGATAAATATGAACACATTATGAATTCTCCATCTCAGATTCTCTTCCCTTATTTTCACTTCAGGGGTGGTTTCATTTATGTCCCCCATATCTTTAGCTGCAAGAGCCACGTTCTTATCACATATTCCAAAGTCCTCAACTTGCTTTTCTTCAATTTTTCGCACTGCGTTGATTAGTGATTCGTTGAATTTCGCATAAACCCGAGTCACTTCTCCAAAAGTGTCACGTGTATACAATGTTAACATCAGAAAGAGTGAAACATACTTTAAAGTCACTTCAGTGTTCAATATAATACCAACTGTGGTGTAAACTATGATTTCTACTACGAAGGATATACACTCAACTGCAAGGAAAAGGAATGAGGAAAGGGTTAGCAGACACATGCTTACGATGAAGAATTCAAATAAACGTTTTCTCCATGGAAGGCCGATTGGATTTTCATCCGAGTCTCCTAATCTCTTTTTGAAAAGTCTCTCTATAATGGGAAACGATGGACAAAGATGGGCAGTCCAGTAAAAGAAAAGTCTGATCCAAATGTTGACGGTCGGCACAAAATAGTACAATAAAATAGGCAACAAAGCAACGATCATAATTATCCAATAAAATATACACTGGGTGAAATAAGCAGTTTCCCGTCTTGGGAAACTATATGGAAACCACATGGAAACCTCATGTTTACATCATGTTTCCTAGTGGTTTCCGCAGCGGATGCCAGGTTATTCCGTCAAGTTTCCGTACCACGGAAACTTCTACGCTCCGATTCCATAAGGTATCCCGAACCACGGAAACCTCAGGAAACCTGAAGTTTCCTGAGCCTCCATGTAGTTTCCCGTAATGGGAAACCTGAAGATTCCACTGGTTTCCATAATTAGGAAACTATGTGGAATCGGAGCGTAGTGATTTCCATGGAATGGAAACTTGATGGAATCCTCAGATTTCCCATGAACGGAAACTAGAGGAAACCTCGTGATTCCTCAAGTTTCCATGACTCAGGAAACTATATGGAATTGGAGCGTAGCGGTTTCCGTGTGATGGAAACTTGGCGGAATTATCTGGTGTCTCATAAAAGGAAATTACAGGGAAACATCAAGATTCCCTTATTTTTCTGAGACGGGAAGCAATGTGTAATTGTGGTGTAATAGTTTCCATACCATGGAAACTACAGGGTAGGTTGAGCATTTCAATTTCGAAAAATGATTGACAAGCAACTGGAAGCTCAAGGATCCCTGTATTTTCCATGGTTAGTCTTTCTTATCTAGAATGTGAAAAGAGAACAGCAGGTTTAAATCAAAATATATATTATTAATTTCCTTGGTAAACTGTGTTTTTTTTTCAAAATCTATCAAGAAAATGTATAAAAAGGAAAAAGCATTATCAAATCATATGTTTAATAATTCATTTGATGTGCAAAAACATTATTTGAAAATGATATCAAAATAAATAAAATCATATATCTTGGTACACAATGAAGTAGTCTTTCACATCTAAGTCCATTCATAAAAACTTCTTTAAATACTCTATACTTCTTTCAACATCAGCTTCCTTTGTATTTTCTTCACATCATCTGCGATCTGCAATATATTTTCATATAAAATTATTTTTTGATGTAAGAATTGTATGCTTGAATATTATTTAGAAATCTTACAAGATCACTCAATGTGCTTTAATGTATACCAATATCAGTGATTATAATTAGTTTAAGTCTTTAAATTTAACGACATGAAATCCAAATAATGAACATTACATAGTAAGGTTTTAAGCCAGATTAATATTAAAGCAGGTAAGATTGAGAATATGACCATCTCGTACATGTAGAACACTGCTTTCAGTATGAGTGAATTGAAGAGAAATGTGCTCTGGACAAGGATATTACGAATCTTTTTTTTTCTTATTGACATTTGACCTAGAAATTTTGTTAAAGATCACTAAAAACTCTTCATCCCATGGCACACAAGCAAGATCATACCAAGGGAGAAAAATTATGCTCTGGACAAGGACTTTAAATAAAGATATATAGTGTGTTTTGATACTGACCTTTGACCTTGATAATTGGTCCAAGGTCACTTTTTACCCTCCATCCACAGGCACTCTATGAGTTAAATTTGAGTGAGATTGGGCTAAGAGGAGAAAAAATATACTCAGGACAAGTGATATCAGATGGACAGACAGATCATCTCATGGCATCTGCAGAAGAGGACCCTAAAAAAACAATGCACATACATGTTAAGCTATATCCATACAAGTCAATATGAGTTCATCATATGTTGCATTGCATACACATGCTTTAATCATGTTTAATACCTTATGAATAATTTCATATTGCATGTACACTCAGTTTACATACAAATAATCTAAATTTCATCAAAAACAACCAACATATCAGCCATTCAAGATTTAACTAATCAACATTCAGTACAAGTTCTATATGCTATATCATATGTACAGACACATACTAGTATTATTTACCTGCATTCTAAATCTTGTTTTATGTCATTGAAAATTAAGGCGATAGCCATTACCGATAACCAGTTTTTACCCCCAATTTACATACACGAATGTTGTAATGTTTGTTCAAAACTTCTCATTAAGGTCTTCCGTCTCCAACGGAGACTTGTAAGAGATGATAGAACATGATTTCTAGATTGGAGAGGGCACCTTTTCGTTCGTCGTCGGCACTTCCGGTCGCTTACGGAAGTGATCAAAGAAATCGTTGAATTTCAACTTTACTTTTTTAAATCAATTCTTACATCACATTATTGCATCTCTTTTGTAGTTTTGAAATATGTTGGTCCCACCGGAAACAGAAACGTCAACTTCCGGTTATAAGAGAAAAACTACATAATTTGAGTATTTTTCTTTCCCATTAATATCTTTTGTAGAAAAAGTATTTGGAATGATTTTAAAATATGTTATTCAGACAGCAAATGTCTAGAGTAACCTCAAATATCTTTCAAAAACTCGCTTCCGGTCGCGTGTTTTTTTTTTTCCTCAAAATGAGAAGTTGTCTGAGCAAGATCTCGGAAACGGTAAGAGATTAAGACACCAGACTTATATGAGCAACAGACCTTAAGATGTAGCCAAAACCACTTGGGTTCAGAGCGTCAGCCGTCACTTCCGGTCGTCATAGGAAGTGATCAAAGAAATCGAAAATTTCAACTTTTCTTTTTTTATTTAAAAATTACATCACTTTATTGCATCCTTTTCACAGATTCGAAAGATGTTGGTCCCACCGGAAAGAAAAACGACAACTTCCGGTTATAACAGAAAAACTACAAAATTTAAGTATTTTACTTTCCTATAAATTTTCCTTATAGATAATGTATTTGAAATGAATTTTAAATATGTTATTCAGACTGCAAAGGTCTAAAGTAACCTCAAATATCTTTCAAAAATTCACTTCCGGTCGCGTGTTTTTCTGTCCTCAAAATGAAAAATTGTCTGAGCGAGATCTCAAAAACAGGTAAAAGATTAAAACACCAAATTTTTATCAGTACATGTAGCAGACCTTGAGGAGAAGGCAAAACCATTTTGGTTAAACGCGTCCGTCGTAACTTCCGGTCGTTTCAGGAAGTGATCAAAGAAATCAAAAATTTTAACTTTTCTTTTTTAAATTAAAGTTTGCATCACTTAATTGCATCTCTTTCGCTGTTTTGAAATAGGTTAGATTCCACCGGAAACGGAAACGTCAACTTCCGGTTTTAGGTGATAAACTACGTTATTTCGGTATTTAACTTTCTCATAAATATTGCTTATCGATAAAGTACTTGAAATGTTTTTATGCATTTTGTAGATACTGCAAATGTGTAGAGAAACGTCAGAGATTTTTTTTTTTATAAAATTCACTTCCGGTCGCGTGTTTACCCGTCCTCAGAATTATAATTTGTTCTCACAATATTGCTCGGCAACAGTAAACTACTGAAGTCTAAAACTTTCAGAACTGATAGTCAGTCATCGGTTTATTTGAATTGCGAGGAAATCTTATATCGCCGTTACTTCCGGTCGTGACAGGAAGTGATGCAAAAAAGTGAATGGTTAATGGTTAGCTCGTTGAATTTTCACGCTGACAACCAGGGTTAAATCTCCAGAGTGTCTGAATTTCTTTTATCACCTTTTCAGCTTGAATTTACGTTTTTATTTTCAAAATCGGACGGAAGACCTCTCATTGCTCGCAATGAGTTTCTAGTTAGGGTCTTCCGAGCTTCCTTCGGAAGACCCTACTGTTATTCTACTGTTTCTTATTATTATTTTTTTTTCCCGCCGATTTTCAGCAGGCGATTTCTCGGAGACCTTTTGTCCGATTGCTATGAAACTTTCAGGGTAGATAAAATGTATTATTGTCTAAAAAAGTTTTTTTCAAATTTTTGATATATACCTCCGTTCCTGAGTTATTGCCCTTTAATCGATATTTGGAGGGTCTCTTGTCCAGTAGAATTCTCAATAACGACACATGATATTTGCATGAAAACTGGAGAACTTGTAAATAATACATTGCAGATGTGCAGAACATTAAAATTGTAGGCTAATTTTTTTAAGTTCGGAAGCTATGTGACGGCAAAATTTAAGAATTATTTTTTCATGAAATTTTGCTGCTTTTTGTTTAATAACTTTTAAACTGATAAAAATTTGGTAAGACATATAGAATAAAAGTTGTGTGTAATTACGAGAGCTTTCAGATAACATCATGAAAAAGGGGCTGGCCCCTATATTCAGGGGACAGCAGGTCATAAAAGTATTTTTTGGATAGCTAAAAATATTAAAATATTATGAAAAAGTTTGAATGACATAATTTCTAACATATTAAATCTTGTCATGTGGTATAAAGAGAAACAAGCTCCGTGCTATTTTTTATTCTATTTTATATAATAATTATTCGAGAATCGTACAGGAACAAGTTGTCTACAAACCAGCCACGCCTTTTAGGGCATCGTAACACATGTACCATGTGTACGGTTTTAGATAGTTGTCGTATTTTAAATAAATTGTTTGATTCGATTTCTCTGTTTTCTATTATTTAAATCGTTTATAAATGCAAGTTATTTACACAGGTAAAGGTAAATTAACATTTACAAATGCATCCGTATAGAAAGAGTCTTAATCGGGGCCTCTTGTTTGTACATGTAACCTAGATGTAAACAATCACGAGCGGCATTGTCGGAAGAAGACACTAAAGACCCGATATACGAAAAACGTGATTTGATCTGATGCTTTGTTGGCAAATATTTAAAAAAAAGTGTAGTTTAGTATATCATAATGCTTTATAATCAATAATTTTTAAAAATAAATCATGTATAACACTTAATCTGATTATTTTATTTTTTGAAAAATCATCAGGTCGAATATCAGGTCTTTAGTATTTCAAGTCTTTAGTACGTCCCCGGAAGTAGCCATGCAAGTCGGAATTACAGACAGAAAATGAGAAGAAAATACGGTGCATCGAAACGCCGAAATGTCGGGTTTCTGCCGAAATGTAAGTAGAATGCGCCGAAATGACTAATGAAATACTGCAATGACTGTGGATATCAATTGATACGGATACTAATACCCCAAAAACATAAACTTTTTGAGGTCAATCCTTACCCCTAAGGTTTTAGAGCCCATTTATCGTAAATATTGGAGGAAGTCAGCCGCCATTGACGGGTTTCATAGTATACCGTATACCACGCCCGATTTTTTTTTTTTTTTTTTTTTTTTTTTTTTTTTTTTTTTTTTTTTTTTTTTTTGTCTTATAAATTACAGATATGTTATAAATGTTTCAGTCATTATACAATTATTATTATTTATGAGGAAAAACATTTATTTTTTCAAGAATAAAAGAATAAATGATTTAAAAATATAATTATCAATTATAAATTATTGTGAATATCAATGGAATATTATTGATGTACAATTGATAAATTTATATCGTAAACAATGTTTGGAAACTGGGGATTTTGTTTTCTGTTTGTTTGTGTTTTTTATTTAATTTTTTTTCTTTGTATTAATGGTTTGAACATATTTTATTGTATAAATAATATACAAATGGTTTGAACACAAGTTCTAACAACTTACGAGGTTCTCACCATAAATGTCTACAACTGTCAAGATCTATATATAGAAAAAAAATATATTGATATACAAACATGTTTGTTTTAAACATACATTAATTACATGATAAATATATAACTAACTAGAGTTTTAGTGTAAGGCTGTAATAATTAATTAAATCTGCCAGAATCTCTTAAAAATTTTTGTTCAGATTGAAAAATATATTTATTGATTTCAACATTTTGTGACTCATCTCCCCACAGAAGTAGGTGACAATCAATAATATTCAATTTAGTGTTTGGTTTAATAAGACACAGTAGGTTTCTAAATAGTTCCTCTCTAGCATGTTGATATTTATTACATACAAAGAAGAAATGATATATGGGTCTTCTGGTGTACCACATGACCAATTTATAGGACTCTCAATAATGTTTCTTTTATAAAGATCATAATTTAATTGTATTTATTTAATTAAATAAATCTCGAAAAGGATAGGATGCAAGTTATTTCAACTTAAAAGATCCTTTCCTCATTATACAAGCAGTGTATAAAATATGATTGTCATAACAAATGAATTGCGACAATTTACAGTTATATCATACAAGCAATATATATTAATTTGAACAAGAAGATTGCATGTTTATCAACTTCATGCAGATGGATCAAGTAATTAATGAATTTTTTGAGAATTTGGAAATTTATCAGTTTTAATCACCTTAAGTAATAAAATAAAATTGTCTCTCATATCAGGTGTGTACATTAATTTGTTAGACACAATTTGTGCAATAAGTTATTCATGTTTCATGCTGGTAGCAATTGAACTTAACATTTTGTAATATTTTGTATTATATGTTGAAATGCGATAAGATGTATGTCTTAAGCAATAAATAAATAATAATAATATATTAATGATGTGAATTAATTTAACAAAACAAAGGGAAACACTGTAATATCAATAAGTAAATGTCATCTGATTCACTTTTTGGTTTCTTAAAAATGCTTTTAACTATATAAATACATATGTTTACATATTGAATTTAGTTTAATCTTATAAATCTTCTGCCATTTGCCTTTATTGTATATGTTGTGCCTCTTTCATTAAAAATCATTAGTGAACCTGATACAAGTCAGGCATCTTCAATTACACACAGGG